GTGGGGGGGGGGGGGGGGGTCCGTAACAGCCTTTGGGTGACGTAGAGATACCAGGGACGTTATCGCATACGAGGCGGCGAGACCCTGGCAGCACTGAACTGGCATCCGCAGGCAGAGTGGATGAGCCGACTATATCATCGTGGCACTAGGCCGCTTATCTCGACACGCTGGCATGCTAATCAGCGTTTACTCCGTGAGCTGCCGCGCATACACGCGCGCTCGCGCACACATTAAGCAAACACAGCCAGGCAACTGGGCGTATACCCGCGTAACCACTCACACGCACGGGGATATTAAAGCGCGTAGGCGCTTACGCATACGCGCGCGTGAAAGGATGTCCTACAGGCGGGGGGGGGGAGTTGTAGGCTCGTTGATCTCACCTAACCGTGTCCTTCCACCCCAATACCGTCACGCCGTCCGCCCATCTCAATCTCGCCTTTCACTGTTCATTCCTTGTGGCAATAATCCTAAAAATTCTATGTAATATGGATGTTTTGTAATTTAGAATACACCTTATGTACAGACGTTGTAAGAGCCAAACTTTCTTAAATCGGCCTTTTCGTTTATCAAACACCGACAATTGTTCGAACATGAATAATTAGGGGTAATTTGAATCTCGCCACCTCAAGCATTAATGTGAATTACAAATACACGAAGAATTAAATATGCGAGCGAAATTTTGTTAATGAATTTTGTGTTGAAAATTTTTAATCCACAAGATTGAAGAGCGGGGAGGGGGTAGGAGTGAAGGGCATACAGTGACCAGACACTTTATTACTTTATTAGTGTGAGCCATGGGAATATACGACACAGGACATTCAGAGAGTTCCTTTATTGTATATTCCGTGATATCTCCTGCCTACGAGTACGGCAGAGAACTCCCTCTGACAGCAATTTGCAATGAATTCTGTCTAAATCATCGGTAAAAATAAAATGAAAAAAAAAAAAGAAAACTGCCGAGGAATTCTAAAGACATTAGCTGTTGGAAGGAGAAGGCGAACTTGACAGAGCAATGGAAGACAATGGCTCGATGCTCCGGCAATGGGATTTTTTTCTCTTTATTCAGATGTTTCTTAGGCCAAAGAATTTAAAAATACTTTTTAATGCATATTATATTGCGATTACCATTCTAAATTTCAACAATTATTTAATGAGACAGGCGCGCTTATAACAAACATAAAATAATTCAATCTTTTGTATAAATCGTGCGTGTATTAATCTATCAATGTAGTCGAATGTAGTCGAATATAGTCAACAACCTTGTTTTATCAAATAAGCATTAGACTTTGATAATTGCGATTAAAGTTAGCTCATCTTCGATTTGACACTGAAACCACGTAAATAATTCTCAAACATATAATGTTTTGTTTATAATAAGTGCGAAGGAAGAGAAAAAATTTTTTACCCGGAAATATAGACTTTTCAAATGAAAAACTTGCTACGTCTTTGTCATCGTTAACAGATTCGCTAGATTTTCCGCTTAGAACGCTAAAAGAAAATTTTCGGGGGAACTTTTCCATTAAGACGCAGCGAGAGTTGACAAGCAGATGGAACAGCTAAATCAGAAAAAGGCGGAAAGAAAGGGAAACAAACGCGCGAGTAATAGAAATACAGTTGAATTCGCGGGCGCGCGCGCGCGCCTTGAACCGAAGCGAGAAATAAATGAGAAACAGGTGTCTACATCATTACTTTGGAAACGCTTAGAGAGTTTTCCTCTTTGCGACTTTCTCTACCTTCTATATTCGTCTGCTGCTACTTCGTCAATTCTTGGGAAAAGATATCAAGGAAAAAGAAGCAATTGTCCGGAGTCTTCTTTGCTCAGCGTGTTTGCCAATTTTTGCGGCTGACACCTTTTCCTCTTCCTGCAATTTTTCCCCCTTTTTCGCAAGATAGAAAACAAAAACATAAAAGATAATACGATTATAAATTACGATTATTTTTATATAAATTTTAATTTACAATATAAATTCATTTTATGCGAAATTTGTCTCTTACGTATAAGGCAATTTTAAAGAGGCGAATGGGAAAAGGCACGAGCAATGTACTTTATGCAATTATTACTGTTATTTACATTTTTTTTTATTTTTTTTTTTATTACGTTGACATTTTTCGAATTAATTGCACGAGCAGAAGACGTACGTGGCAGCGTTATATGATTAAATTCATACGAATTCAACATTTTAGTGCATCCGCATAATACTATGGTCGAGGCTGATAATACGATAAGAATTATATAAAATTATGTTTGAGCCTAATTATAATATGATAATTTGTTGAAAATGTAGCATTTACATATGCATATTTAAAATCAAAATATAACATTCTTTTCACTTTAGTTCAATATTTATATTTCATTGCGTATATTTAAGCATATCGCGATAGTATTGATAATGTATGCGCGACGCTTATATTACATTAATATTCTTATTTTTAATTAATTTATATTATTAATATTTATTTGTTTTGTCTATCAATTACGTATAAATTACGTGTCAATATGGTGACGTAATATCAATCAATATTCTGGCATCTATGAACATTTATTTTTCATTTTAATCATGAAATTTACCTTAAAACTTGTGTTTCAAACTCTGCATATTTTCACGACGTCTTCACGAAATTTCAATATTCCATACGAGTATCTAAATTTTACATGTATTCTTCTTATCGATAATTAGTCCATGTATAAATGTAAATATATTGTTAAAATTCAATAAATATGTAAATTTTTGTCGTTGCTGTTGTTGTTGTTGTTGTTGTTGTTGTTGTTATTGTTGTTGTTGTTGTCGTCGTTACTTTTATGCCTTTATCTAATAATCTATAATTCAGAAATTTACTGTTAAATGATATTCTTAATTTTCAATAAAATTTTAATATACACTCGCGAAAGCTCTATTAAAGTACCGCATCTGATGAAATTTTACAATGGTCACGAATACTTGCCAGGAAATTAAAGGAGATAAGAAGAAAAAGAATGCGGAAGATCTAATGGGAAGGTTGCGTGTAGCATAAGAAAAGATCGTCGAAAAAAGCAGTTTCGCCAATCGCAGCGGAAAGAGATATGGAGTGCGAAATTCTTTAAGTGTATGAGATGAAGTGAGAGAGTGAGAGAGAGAGTGAGAGAGAGAGAGGGGGTGGGGGGACTACTGTTGCGAGAGAAAGCTAAGTGCCGATGAGAAAGAGGAAAAAAGTCTCGAGCACCCGCGATGGGAATAATATCATCTCCTGGCACGATTCACTCGCAAGAGAGAGAGAGAGAGAAAGAAAAACGTCCCATGCGATACTTACCTATATATCTCTAACCTTTACACATCGGCGCAAGCTTCTCTCTTAGAACGAAGGGCAAATTGAAGAAGTCTGCATTTTTCTGGTTTCGGGACCACACATACACATATAAAAGTGCAAGAGAAGGATATAAGGTGCGGTGGGGCTACGAAACGTGCGTCCGCGTCCTACGGGACTTGCGCGAATGAAATTTCATTTTGGGATAGAGAGGGAGTGCTGCCGTAATCCCAGAATTGTTACTTGATTTTGTTCCTACGTCCGTTACTAGCTTGCAGGTCGTTCCGGCGAAATGAAGAGCAGCTGAAGCGGAAGTTGAAAGGAATCCCGGTGTTGGCCTCTCTAATCGCCTCGTCCTCTACTCTCACTTTCTCTCCGTCTCTCCTCTCCACTCGTTCATACTCTTATTTACAGTCTCATTTTCTTTGCTCTCTACCGCCCGCTCACTCCTCTTTTGTTCATACGTATTTATATGCCATATATTACACTTCACATTATATATTTCTCATTGATTTCATTTCACAAGTATAATGCTCGATATGCATTTGTGGCAAATGTATATGTAAATTCGACAAAGATTATGCAAAAGCTTACCGAACATTAGACGGGCTTCTAACAATAATTTTTGCGCGACTTAGCACTGTGCGAAGGAGCATTAGTATGGTTTCATAACCAGTAACTTATTATTTTAACGAGAATAATAGTTATTTATTGTTCTTATATGAAAGTACGCTAAAATATGTAAATATTTTAATACTCCTATTACATTTGTAAAATTTAAATATTAGCTTCATTCGATAGGTTGAAACGATTTTTATTCCATTATAAAAATCAATTAAATAAAAAAAATATTGAAATACTTTAGATATCTATTTGTTTTTATGTATTTAAATATCTGAATTAGATAAATACAACAATAATATATATATATATATATAATATGGCTTTTCATTCTAATTAGAATTAAATAAAAAATGATAGTTTGATTTAGGTTAGGTTTAGTATTAAATTCAATTAACAGTTAATACTCTCATTCATATTTATCTGTTATTTTTAATTGTTTGGTATTTGAATTTCAATTTTATTTCTTATCCTTTTGTAATTAGCAAATCAATATATATATATATATATATATATATATATATATATATATACATATATATAAGCGCGCGCGCGCGTGCATGCATCTTATACACGGATGTACTTATGTGTATAGGTATGCGTTCAGTTATGCCTGTATCTATGAATATTCAAAAATATAATTCAAGTTTATATAAAAATTTTGTTTAAAAATTAATGTAGCCTACTTTGCAATAGACGATCATGCAATTGAATTAATTGGCCATTATATTTTTAAAACTACTTAGTAAATACTTGTACAAGCATTATCATAGATGTATGCATGATCCCTGTAAAGAAGCAAGTAAACCAAAGCTTTAGGAAGACTGATAAATAAAGAACACCGAGGGAACGGCATAAAAATAAAAAGGATAGAAGGAGATGGAGAGTAGCGAATAGAGCGCGATAAGAGGACTTGCCAACCTGCGAGAGAAAATTGCATTTTACAAACTTGTTTTGAGAAAAGAATTGGAAAGAATTGTGGGAGGAACCAAGACAGGTAAGATGCGATGTACTACGTATTGGATGATAGCGGGAGAGAGAGAGAGAGAGAGAGAGAGAGAGAGAGAGA